CAAGTGTTAAGGCCGAGATCCTGGCCGAGCGTGAGGCCCAAGGTTCGAGCCTGGTCAACAACGCCGGGCCCCCCAAGCACGTCAGGGTTTAGTGTTTAAGGTTTCGGGTTTAGGGTTTAGGGTTTGGGGTTCAGGGCTTCGCGCTGCAGTTCCACGGGGAAGTATAGGGTAGGGTTTAGGGTTTTAGAGTTTGGATTCAGGGTGTAGGGTTTAGGATTGAAGGTTCAGGGCTTAGGCTTCTGAGCTTAGGGTTAAGGGTTCAGGGCTTCTGGTTCAGGATTCAGGATTCAGGGTTTAGGGTTTAGGGTTTAGGGTTTCGGATCAAGGATATGGGTTTTGGGCTTGGGAGCAAGGGTTCAGTGTTTCGGGTCTGGGATAAAGAGCTCAGGGTGGCTTAGGGTTTAGGGCTTAGGGTTAAAGGGTTACGTTCGCGGTGCGCCAGGCACGGCCTCCTGCGCACAAATCGTTCTGTCATGCCTTCTTTTCTCGGCCAATGTTCACTGCCCATCTTCCCCAAACGGATTCGAAGAGGTTCTCAGGGTCGCTGTTGCCAAAACCCGTTTGTCTGTATCAGAGGACGTGCGTGGGATGCCAAAGCCCATCTCGAGTGCCCAGGGTTTCTTGGGACAACCTTAAACGCTAAACCCTAGACCCGAAGCCCCAAACCCAAACCTGAACCCCAAACCCTTTCGCAAACTGCAGGCTCTGGCATCCCCCCTTATCCTCCCCCTTGGCCGAAACCCTTAACCCTAAACCATAAACCCGAAACCAACCCGACACCCTAAACCCTAAACCCTAAGCCACCCTGAGCTTCCCACGTTTTGCCCTCTGAGCGCTGTCGAGCATTTTGGGCTGCTCGGGGTAAGGTCGACCCTTAGTGATGGTGAAATATCATCGGATTACCTCAAAAGCCCAATAACGGGGTAACTTGAACGACCAACAGGGGAGCTGGTTCTCCCAAACACTCTAGTGCTTTCTGTCTGGGGCTGCAAAAAGCAGCGTCCTAGAATTTCTACTCATAAAGTCCTTCTCCACAGCTCAAGAAGGCCCACCGCTCACCCTCAGGCAGAACCCAGAAAGCCCAGAAATCCCAAGCCAGCCCTAAATCCTCAACCCCCAAAGTTCTCCATATTTCTCAACTCTGAACCCTACACCCTAAACCCTACTCCCTAAAACCTACTCCCTAAAAGCTCCAAAGAGTCCTAAACTCTAAGGCAAAGTCCACCCCAACGCTCCAAGTACACCCATGGCGCCGAGGCCGCCAAGGGAGCCACCCGACAGAGGCGAGCGCAGCACCTTGGCTGCTCCAGCGTTTTGGGCTTAGGCAAGCTCTACTTGTAGGCCCCTTGGGATGTTTTGTATTTGCCTGAGTGGGTTAAAGAAGATCGATGTAATTTAGGAATATTTTTCAGAGGGTTTCATGGGCCATCCTAGAGCTTCTCTTCAGAAGCTTGTTGAGTTCCAGGGCTAAGTTAGGCAAGCGCAGCCTACAGTACCATACTTCTCCTTCTTTCTGGGTTGATCCTGACAAAGTCTGGCTTTTATGCACACCAAACCCGACGCTGAGTGCCCGGGAGATAGAGCTGCAGGCGAGCAGGTCTGCAGGATTTTGTAGGGCTGCCGATGAAGGCAATATTTGCTTGTCATGGTGCTGACAAGCAGTGGCCGAAACCCAAAACCCCATAGCCCATAACCCATCATCCAAAGCCACATCACCCGGAGTACAAGGCACTTCTTGTTGAAGGTCGCTTCTTTGAGGGCCCTCATGGTACTGAGGTACAACCGCGCCATCCTCCCCGAGGCGTGACAGGTTTTTGATTTGGATAAGGTTTAGGGGTTTAGCTTCAAATAGTTGAGGTCCAGGATTGAGGGGTTTAGGCGTCTAGGAGGCTTAGGGTCCAGAATGAGGGACATAAAGGTTCAGGGTTTTTGAGGTTTGGGTGCTTGGGCTTTTGGGGAGCTCGGTGTGTGGAGGGTTTGGGGCTTAGGGCTTGGGTGGCAAGGGAAGGGGAGTTGACTTAAACCCTAAACCCTAAAGCCTAAAGCCTAAACCCTAAACCCTAAAGCCTAAGCCCTAAGCCCTAAGCCCTAAACCCTAAACCCTAAACCCTAAACCCTGGACCCTAGACCCTAGACCCTAAACACTAAACCTCGTGCGAAGAGGAGGCCGAAACCAGAAAAATTCTCCCAGCCCCATCCGGGAGTTCGCGTTCATTGACCCTAAAAAAGGGGTCGGGATAATTACAAATAATATTCCCTTATGGTCCCTTTGTAGGTATACTAGAAGGACCCCCAAAACCCTATTCTAAATACTCAGGCCCCTATTTTGCTTCGTAAGAGGATGCTCCGGCCGACCTCGCCAGCAAGAAGATCTGACATGTAACGTTCCCTGACATGTGGTGCTGCGTATGTTCCATCCGCAGTCACTAAGGAAGCTAAAGCCATAAGAGTCAGAATCTTTCGATAGTTAGAATAAGAATAGCAGTCAAAAGAACAGGCAAGAATACAACGAATAAGCACGACCCCAAAGCCCCAGGATCCTCCACAGGCCCCCCCCCCCCCCCCCCCCAAAAAAAAAAAAAAACTCAATCACCGACCCAACCGCCTCAACTTCGAACGCCCACACGACATGCTCGCAGCAGAACATAGTGAGAAGAGTGACGATAACAGTATTAATACTGAAACGAATGGTAAGAATGGTAGAGTAGTCCAGAATTGTAGTACTACTTGTAGTAATCGTAATAATTGTAATAATGCCACTAATTATCATTGATATACTAACAATAGCAATGGAGCTAAAGGAGGGTCAAGATCGGGGCCCAGGGGTTAGAGGACTCAAGCTCCTTGCCGCGGGCTTTTGGGCCGCCATGTTGGATGCTCCCCACAGCGCTCGCGCCAGTCGGAGGGTGCCAGCTGACCTGGGCTGGCATATATCTCCTAGAATATCTCCTTCGACGTTGTCATGATGACTTTTCGTTGTTTTGCGGCAATATCTCCTAGACTAGACCCTGAGCCCTAAACCCTAAGCCCCTAAGCCTAGGCTTCCCCAAACCCTCAAACCCGAAACCCCAAAGCCTAGGTTCTTCGGAGCCGGAGCGCATTGCGTGTTCAGTGTTATACTTGCGAGAAGCACCTGCGACCCTGTACTCTCAACCCAACTCATACCTACCACGGGGCCTAGCTGCGGCAGGTGTTTGCCTGACTTTTTGACCAGAATGCGTATTGGCTTTGCTACTGGATACAGTTGGGATTGAAGCGTTCACCGATGTTTGATGCGTGGTTTCTCTAAACCCTAAACCCCCAATCCTAAAGCCTATGCCCTACAAGCCTAAAACCCTAAACCCTAAACCTAAACCCTAACCCTAACCCTAAACCCAAACCCTAAACCCTAAACCCTAAACCCTAAACCCTAACCCTAACCCTAAACCCTAAAACCCTAAACCTTCATACCCCAGACCCTAAAGACGCAGGTTCGGAGGATCCAGGCTGGCAGGCGACCAGTGCAGCCCCCGGCCCCCCCAGCGTCTTCTAAAGGTTGATCGAAGCTCTGGGCCCTTGTTTAAAGTTTTTAGGGTTTAGGTTTAGGGTTTAGGGTTTAGGGTTTAGGGTTTAGGGGGGGGTTTGTAGGGTTTAGGGTTAGGGTTTAGGGTTTAGGGTTAGGTTTAGGTTTAGGGTTTAGGGTTAGGGTTAGAACAACGATAGAGTTTAGGGCTTGGGGTTGCTCTCTGCGTTCGAGCTCGAATACTAACAAACCGCCTACATCTTTGATGAAGCGGAAAACCTAAGCTGAAGTCACCGTATCCGAAAACATAAGCCTTGTTCTCTTCTCCCACTAGCCCGTCATCTACCCACATCCTACTGTCTATAGTCTGGCAACCGAGCGGGGGAGAGGAGTTTTTGGGGGCTCTGGGAGGCGGAGATGTCCAACGCAAGCCCTAAGCCCGAGCTTGCGAAACCCTGGAACCATAAAACCCTAAACCCTAAACCCTAAACCCGAAACCCCTAAACCCTAAACCCTAAACCCTAGACCCTATCTGGCCCACCTAGAAGCTCTCCTGAACTTCGCCCAAGCCGGAAAGCGTGATGTCGCAGAAGCCCCAGGAGTAGTCTCACTATCATGATTCTCTTGATTTCGCCTTGGCAGCTACTATGTGCCAGTCCTTTTGGGGCTCTAAGATTCTTGTCTTCTTGCTGATGAAGATGCTTCTCGCCCTGAGCCCCGAACCCCCGATCCCTTTGGTTGTTTTGCAGTCTTTCTGTGCCTGCGGCCCTACTTCGCTGGGGCCCCCAACGAACTGCGAGTGATTGCTGCCCGCTGCTTTTCTCGGCCCAGTGCCCTTTGTGACATTGACCCTTGGACCTGTCTACTTGCCTCTCGGATGCAAAGGTGATCAAAGGTGGGTTGGGCCCTTGGTATTAAGGGAGTCTTGGGTTCAGGGTTCCTTCCCAAAGCCTCGAGGCCTAAAGCCCTGTGGGTTGCCCACTCTGCGTGGATGCTTAAGGGCCTAGGCCTTCTTTCTTCATGTGTATATAGACCACCATCCGCTCTACCTACTTAAGACCCGGTGTTTCGGTCTGAGTGTGTGGGGGACGCCTGCCGTAGAGAGCGGCCCAGGAGAAACGGAAGGTTAAGCAGAGCTCCATAGCAAAACCCTCCCTAGCGGTACGTAGAAACTCCTGCTTATCAAGTGCCCCAGAGCACGACGCCCCAAACCCCAATAGGCCAAATCACAAAAAACCACCAAACGTGTAGCAGAGCACATGCTAAACCCTTGATCAAGGTCGATGTTGAAATCTCCCCCCCCCCCCCCCCCATCCATGACATGCCCTCAACAGCATCCTCTATTGCCAGCCCCGCCGTTCTTAGATCCTTATAAAAAAGGACCCCAAGAAGGCACTCCTAATAACCACCGTGGCTGACTCGGAGCTGAAAAGGTGTTATCACGTTAGAAGGCAGTCGCAGCCTTGTGCAGCACGACAGGCAGCTGCTCGCGTAAAAGATGTCCTGCTGCTGTGGAGAGGTCGAGAAGGATCCAGAGGAGTGACTGCCTCTTGGGGTTCAGGGTTTAGGTGTTAGGAAGCGAAAGCCCTACAACCTAAACCCTTATCCGAATCCCTACGAAGCCCTATAGGGTTTAGGATTCAGGGCTTCGGCTTGAGGGTATGGAGTTGCGGATTCAGGCGTTGGTTGGCTTGATGCGGTACAGGCTGGTCGGCTGGGGGCTTTAGGGGTCGAGGGTTTTGGGTGAACCTAGACTGGAACATCCGACGGGCTATGTTGTCAGGGTTCGGCCATGCGCGAATAAGCCTCTCAGTTCGGGATCTCGCCCTCGATCTTTTTTAACCCGAAAACCTGGAGTCTAGGGACGCCTTGAGAGAACAAGAGGGCAGCAAGAGTTTTGGGCTTAGGGGTCAGGTGTTTTGAGGGGTTGAGGGGTAATTATTCTATAGGGGCTTGGGGGTTTAAGTAAGGCTTCTGAACCATCGAACGGGAAGCTCGGGAATCCGCCAAACCTCATATATCCCAAGCCCTAGACCCCAAACCCTCAGTCCCTCTGCTAACCAGGAGGAGAAGGTGACCGAGAAGTCTGAGTGGGGCTCCTGGCGAAGATTCCAATTTGCGACTGTAGGGTTTTAGTTTAAGGGTTTAGGGTTTAGGGGCTGAACTCTGAATGCCAGAAGCCCGAAACTCTAAACATGAATTTCCCAAAGTAACTCCGCACCTGGACAGAGCACTGCAGAAGCTTCAAAGTGGCAGCTCCCAGAAGAATGCCGGTGAGAAGTGCGCCTACAGTAACTTGAGCTTGGCCCAAAGCCCCACGACCCGAAACCCTACACCTTGAACCCCAACCCTAAGCCCTAAACCCGAACCCTAAACCCTAAACCCTAAACCCTAACCCTAAACCCTAAACCCTAACCCTAAACCCTAAACCCTAAACCCTAAACCCTAAACCCTAAACCCTAAACCCTAAACCCTAAACCCTAAACCCTAAACCCTAAACCCTAAAAGGAATAAAAAGCAAGCGAACATGACCCGATCAAGCCGCACGCTGCGCCCAGTTTCGCGCAAGAGGAGGACAATGACTTCGGCCCCACCCCGAACCGAGGCGCGTGCGGTTTAGGGTTTAGGGTTTAAGGGTTTAGGGTTTATTGTTTAGAGCTTAGGGTTTAGGTTTAAGGGTTTTGCTTCTGGCTTTGGGGATTTTCGCACTTAGGGTTCAGTTGTACCGACCCATGGGTTGGTCTCAGAAGTCACTGCTGACAAGCCCAGGCAAAGAAAGGGCGTAAGACTACATCCTGAAGCCCCAAGCTTCCCGATCGAACCCCCTTCAAGAGCCCTAAGCACTCCCATCAAGGTAACCCTTAGGCCCCTTGTTTAGGCCCCTTCTTCGGGGGTACTCTTGGGGGGTCCAGATCAGCCGCCACAATTTGCCATCTTGCAAACTTGCCTTGCGCTGGACCCGGCCACTGGGCGGCCAATTCTCATGCCGCCAGTTGTGGTGACGCAACGCTAAGGGTTTATTGAAGGTTTCGTGGCTGGCATGAGTTCTCTTCTTGGAAACCGCTGCCTCATGTCAGCCGGGCCTCTCTGTTCTTCCGAGAAGCAGGCTGAGTTCTACAGGGGTTTCGTGTGACACCGCAGCGGAACTCGCTCAGGGTTTAGGGTTTTGGGTTTCTAAGCTCCAAACCCTTAACCCTACAAGCTTAGCGCTTTCATGGCTTCTTCTTGCCGGAAGCCTCTTTCTTCTCCATGCCAGACGTTGAAGCCGTGAGCGCTCCCAAAGCTTATGAGCTCTCAACCCCTGAATCCCGAAACCCTGAAGCCCTAAACCCCTAAAGCCGTAAAAGCCAAAAGCCCGGAAACCCCCCAAAAAACACCCTAACCCCCCCCCCCCCCCCCGCCGCCCCTAAAGCCCCCCAAAAACCCTAACACGTGGAGAGGGTGCACCGACGCCTGGTGTCTCATTGTTCTGGTGGCCGCATGGATCGCCTACATTGTTGCGCGGGGCCCCAGAGACAGCGCGGAGGGTTTAGGGTTTAGGGTGTAGGGTTTAGGGGTTAGGGTTTAGGGTTGAGGATTAGGGTTTAGGGTTTAGGGTTTAGGGTTTGGGATTAGGGTTTAGGGTTTAGGGTTTAGGATTAGGGGGTTTTCGGGATGTTACAAGGAGGGGTGCTAGGGGTGTCAGGGGGTGTTCGGGGTGTTACGGGGTGCTAGGGGGTGCTCGGGGGTGCTAGGGGGTGTTTGGGGGTGTTAGGGGTGTTAGGGGTCAAGAGTGGGGGTTTCGGGTGTAGGAGTTTAGGGGTTTGAGGGGTCTTAGGGGCCTTAGGGGTTTTCGGGATCTTAGGGTCATTTGGGATTGAGACTCTACAGGTTCGGAGCTTCAGCGGTTGTAGGGTGAGGTGCAGATGTGTACAGACAGGAGTTCAGAGCAGTGGAGCGAAATCTGTCGGAGCTCGAAGATGAAAAATCCCAATTTTGGTTTAATGGGACGGTTAGTAAAAGGGGGAACATCCCAAGGTTTAGGGTTTAAGGTTTAGGGTGGTTTGCTGGGCAGGTTCTTGGGGCCTTGGGACATATCATGTATGCGACTATGGGGTTTAAGAGGACCTTATTTAGGAATTAGGCCTTGTTGGCCGACGTCGCCTAAACAAGAAGCCCCAAAACCTTATAAAGCCCCAAACCCTAGCCCGTGACAAAAAGCAACTCAAAAAGGCGAAGCCTTTGGGACCCCTAACCCCCAACTCGAAACCCACCCTAAAGCCCTAAAACACATGAGAGCCCAGAAACCGCCAGATTTCTTGAACAGGGTCTCTCCCGACACTCCTCAAGCGTTAGATCCGTAGAAAGCCAAACAGATGGACAGCTCCTTCTCCCTCTCTGACCGTCTCCCTCTCACTCTCTCTCTTGTTTTGTTCTTGTTTCTCTCTCTCTCTCTCTCTCGCTCTTTTTTCTAAGGTTGGACCCATGGGCCCTTTATAGGGATCTGAAGTATGGGCCCTGTTTATGAGTAGTGTATATAAGGGCTATAAACAAGGGACCCAAATTAAGGGCCCATACGTGGAACCCTTCATTTGTGGTCCGTTCAGGGGACGGGTGAATTGGCTGCAGCACGAAACTGCCAAACCCTGAAATCGGCAAGCTACCACACTTTTGCGGTTTAGGAGCCAACATTCTTGCGGTTTAGGGCTTATGGTGTAGGGTTCAAGCGCTACATTTCTTGCGGTTCAGAGGTTTAGGGCGTAGGAGGTTCGTGCTGGTGAGCCTGAGGCATACAAGCCTCCAAAAGGGAAGCCCATGGACATCAACCGCGACCATAGCCCAAACCTTAAGCCTGGCGAAAGGACCTGCTCCTGCTAACTCAACCTTTCAAGGCCCTTAGAACTACTTGGAGGTCATTGGGTACGTTTATAAGTAGCTATGGTTGTCACCTTCTTTAGGGTACCGATAGTCCTACACAAAATGTACCCATGAACCTTCATGTAGACCTTCTAGACACTAGACTCCCTAGACCCAAAATCCGAAGGCCTCTCAACTCACCTACACCCGACCCCCCGAAATTTGAAACGTCGCCAAGGTGACTGTCATGGGCATGGCTGACGGCAACCCTTCAAGGCCGATCCCTGCACAAGGATCATCTTGAAGACTCTTCTTTAAGTTTGTCTGTGGGTTTGGGTTTGGGTACCACTTAGACCAGCCTTAGCTGGGGAAGCTGTGTAGGGCTTCAATCCTTTAGCCCTAGAAACCCTAGACCCGAACCCGCAGCTGTAGGGGTCTGAGGTTTCGGGTTCAGCATAAAGAGCTCTAAACTCTGAGCCCTGAATCCTAGCGAATGTAAGGTTCAGTTTTCGGGTTTGAGGATGTGCGGCTGTGAGGGTTTCGGGCTGAGGGTCTTCGTATCGAGAAGTTGCGGTTTGGAGTTTGCAGGGGCGAAAGGCTCTACAATTGACCGTGCACGAAGGCCCGCAATGCTTAGCCAGCATATTTTGAGACCTTGCATGCTTAAAGAGCACTAAACCCTAAACCCTAAACCCTAAGCCCTAAACCCTAAACCCTAAACCCTAAACCCTAAACCCTAAACCCTAAACCCTAAACCCTAAACCCTAAACCCTAAACCCTAAACCCTAAACCCTAAACCCTAAACCCTAAACCCTAAACCCTAAACCCTAAACCCTAAACCGCCTACACCCCCCTGCCCTACACCCCGCAAAACCCCGCTAAACCCCCCTCAACCCCCTACACCCCCCTAAACCCCCCTAAACCCCCTACACCCCCCTACACCTCCCTAAACCCCCTTAAATCCCAACCCCTAAATCCCCCCTCATCCTACAAGATGGCCAGGCTGTACCAGCCCCGCGACTTCCAGGGCGCCTACTGCGACGTGGAGAGCAACTGGAACAACGGCACAAATCTGCTAGGCCGGCTGTTGACCCTGAGGGGGTTTAGGGGGTTTAGGGGCTTAGGGGTTTAGGCAAATTGTTTGGGGTTTGGGGGGCTAGGGCTTTAGGGTCTTGCCAGGACTTGAACACGCTGGCAGACCCGGGAAGCTTAAACTTATACCCAAACCCCAAACCCCAAACCCCAAACCCCAAACCCCAAACCCCAAACCCCAAACCCCAAACCCCAAACCCCAAACCCCAAACCCCAAACCCCAACCCCAAACCCCAAACCCCAAACCCCAAACCCCAAACCCCAAACCCCAAACCCCAAACCCCAAACCCCAAACCCCAAACCCCAAACCCCAACCCCAAACCCCAAACCCCAAACCCCAAACCCCAAACCCCAAACCCCAAACCCCAAACCCCAAACCCCAAGCCCCAAGCCCCAAGCCCCAAACCCCAAACCCCAAACCCCAAACCCCAAACCCCAAAAAACTCTTTATTCTCAGAGCCTAAGGGAAAGCAAGAAGCCGCAGGGCTTGAGCTCGAAATTTGCCTCGGGTTCCTGCACACAAACTTCCCAGACGGGGCTCCTGATTGGCGGCTTTTGTGGAGCACTTATAGGCTATATAGGGCTCGTATGGGGCGAATAGGGCTTGGAGGGCGGTTGCGGGTTTAAATGAGGGTGGGCTTTGTACGGACAAACAGCTCAGGGGGTTCCGGGCTTAGGGATCGGGTCTGCGCAGGCTACACGAAGCAGAGCTTCACCATGAATGTAAGCTCCGTGACCGACGTCATCGTCAAGCAGTCCTTGGGCACTCATTCAGTCTAGGATCCGTCAATCTTTGAATCCCGAAACCTTACTTGGAGAACATGGGCACCTATAAGTAGGGCTCTAAGTGCCCTAAACAAGGTTACAACCATGGTGGCCCTGCTTAGAACACCCCCACACCTGCCCATAATCGGATTCACAGGGCAGCTCAGGCGTTACATGTGCCTCCTAAGAGGGCAATGGTGAATACAGTAATTACCTTTATATTCCCCTGTGTAGCCCTTGGACGGATTTCCTGGGGAACTTGAAAGCCACCCCGAATTCGGGGCGTGGGTCATAGCATACTGGCTGAGTAGTCGCCTACCTCCCAGAGTCCCAAAACCTCGGAGCCTTAACCCTGAAACCTCATCCTGAATGGAAGCCCCTAAGTGCTCTAAATCCTAGAATCCCACAAGCTAGCCAAAGTCTGATGTAGTCCCAAGGCTTCGAGGGCGTTCATTTTTTGGGGACTTTGGGGTCAGGTGCTCGGATTAGGGAGTTTTTGGACATCCTCATCGCTCCACCCTCAACACCTTCAACACCCTCAACACCCTCAACACCCTCAACACCCTCAACACCCTCAAAGCCCTCAACACCCTCAACACCCTAAGCCCTAACCAATTGAGCCTTCATCCCTCAACTCCGAACCCCGTAAGCCTAGGATGATGTGCTCCACCGCCTTCCGGACGGCAATGGTCGACGGCTACACAGGTGGGCCGGGCAGTGCTCGAGGGTACCAAGTTGGGGGGCCAGCTAGGCAGATACGCACGCCTAGAACCCTGCTACACCTCTGTGCGTGCGAGAGAGATAGGAATCAGCCATCATGGGGGGATCTATCCTGTCAGGGATCTGGGTGCTTCAGGGTTTTGCCAGAAAGCAGCATTTAGAGTTTAGGGGCAGGCCCCCAGGCTTCCCCCCGAGGGTCTGATCTTGAACTCTCAAACTTTCCGGTGTCTGTGAGAGCTGGAGTGCTGTCACTGTACCTGCAAAGTGGGACTCGGGGTTTTTATGGCTCAGGGTCTAGCGGATTTAGGACTTACATCCGAGCGTGATCAAAGTGTTCTTCGGGAATGCTTCGTCCTAGCTACGTGAATGCCTTCAGCCCCACAATCCTCGGCATGCTAGAGGGTCATGACTCTTTGAGGTAATAGAGGAGTCGGAATAAGTACTAATTAATCGTATTCCCTCGTTATCCCTTTGTATTTATACTATAATAACCGAGCAAAACCCTATTCTAATTATTAAGGCACCTATATTAGATCTCTCGTACTTTCAGCGAGGTCTAGCATAAACCTTAAGCCCGCAAAGACCAGGTATTCCTGCCCAGGCTGCTCTGTTAAGCGGCTTCGAAGCGGAGGACGCTGTGCTGCCACATCATACGGGCGCTACGTCCGAACCACGCCGTAACTACTGGGTGCTACAGCAGGCGAAGACTAGGATTCTGTTAGTATCAGCTCTCGCGGCATGCAGAGCAGAATGCATCTTGACGACGAGCTCAAGTGCTTAGAAGTTGAGCTACGGCCCGAAACCCCAGAAAGACCCCTGCTCTGAACTTGCACATCCCCAAGCCCTGAAACAACAAAACCTTACAGGGCTCTTGTGATCGGATATTCTCTCAGGGAAGTTCCCTCCACCCCAAGGCCTAAGTCTCGGCGACTAGAGTCACTGGAACTTTTGCGTTCCAACCCTCACACCCTCGAAGCCCCAAAGCCCCAAAACCAAACTATCTTTTTATGACTGGTAACTTATGGCAGTTTTTATTTTTTCATTTTTATTGTTCCTCTTCTTCGCATCACTCTTATGCTTATTTCTATTCCTCCAATCATGAGTATTATTCTTAGTGTGTTTTATGACTGTTAGTATGAGCCCTAAAACCTGCAAACCACTATTGCAGGACTACCTCTGTGCCTGCTGCCTGATTCCCTGTGGCCCCTGTCAAGGCGGGGGGCCCTGCACTAGGACCCGCCCCAGTGGCACTCGGGGGGGGGGGGGGGGGAAGGTTAAACCCTAGACCCTCAACCTAAACCCCAGAAGCCTACACAGCCCAGCTGAGGCAGCCTGAACGTCGGTGGCGATCTCACAGACGTGGCAGGGACCTTGAGGGGTTTTAGGCTTTTGCTTAATTTGTTTGGTTGGTGTCGGTTACTGTCCATGATGTCTTAACCGACGGCTGGCACATCCATGCCACCCGATGCTTAATCTTGGGAAACTCGAGCCTGGCGATGCTTCAGCAGCCTCAGGCTTTCCACTCCGACAGGCTCGGATTTTTCGCAACATCTACGGAGCTATGTATCAGACATAGTTTAGTTCTTACCCTAAAAATAAACAGCCCTTTAAAACCATAAACAGTTTCGAGTAGGAGAAATGAAACTTCTCTTGCATCACGGGAGAACTTTCTATTTGTTCTATTCAACAGCATCTGACAATACATTTCAACCAAAGGGTCACATTCGAATGCCTTCAGGCATTAAGAGATGACCTCCAACTAATTCTGTTAATGGAACCAATGCGTTATTTACATATATATATATATATGTGTGTGTGCGTGTGTGTTTTTTTTTGGGGGGGGGGGGGGGGAGGAGGGGAGGGGGGGGGGGGTGGTAGAATGCTCAAGAGCATCCTTAAGTTCATGAAACTGGTATTGAAGTACAGGTCCATGTGGTTTCGTTCATGTAGGAATATGTATATATATATATATGTATATATCTTTATTTATTTATGTATATATTTTATTTTTTATTTAGCCCACTGTTTATTATAAGCAAGTGACTAGCAACACTTGGTCTCAAGAATGCCAATAGCGGGTTTGCAGATTTATTCATTTAGTCATCAATTATCCTTGACGCGCCCAACTATGCATATGAAACGAAGTGAACATTTGCAGAGTACTAACTTAAACTCGTGCTACCCTACAGTTATTTTACGCTGACAATTATCTGATCAAAGGGCTGCGAGAAACCCTAAACCCTAAACACTGAACCCTAAAACCTACACCCTAAACCCTCAACCCTGAACCCTGAACCCTAAACCCTGAACCCTTAAACCCTTAAACCCTTAAACCCTGAACCCTAAACCCTTAAACCCTTAAATCCTAAACCCTAAACCACCAAGAGCCGCTCCAAAGGCATCCGTCTCTACTGTAATCACAGCGAAGCTGGAGGAGCTGCGTGGGAAGGCACTCGGTCCGCTTAGGGTTGGAGTCTAGTTTAGGATTTATTAGGGTTTAGGGTTTAGGGTTTATTGTTTAGGGTTTGGGGTCTAGGGTTACAAGGGTTTTGGGTTCCGGGAGTTTAGGGCTCAGAGTTTAGGGTTTCAGCCCTGAACCTCCAATGTGGGGTTTCGGGACTGATCCAGGGGTCCCTTATTTTTGTAAACCCCATTTTGATGCTCATTCCAGGGGTGTGTGAGCGCTTTTTAGGGTGAGTGGCCGTGTGAACAATCGACCAGGCAGAATTGAGTTCATGATGAACATTTCCGTAGCTAAACACTCGAAACCCACTTTCACCATCCCACTCCTACTCTCTGAGCCCTTGCGCCCGGAAAGACTAACGACCCTGAACCCCAAACATTTCGTTGTTGCTGCGAGCCCCACCAAGCGTTTGGTAGAATCTAGCAACACAAGTAATATGCTGAAGCTCAGCGACCCTCCGACCGTGAACGCTGAGAATTTTGGTTTTGGCGAAAGGTTTAGGAAAGACTCCGCAATTGCTCAGTGCACGCTGGCTGGCGGGGTGTAGGGTGTAGGGGAGTCGAGGTCAAGGGCCGAGGTCCCGGCGTAGAAGATCTCTGACAGCTCAATGCAGTGATACATGTGTCTGTTTATGCACATGTTATGCATGTGTGTGTGCGCACGCATCCGAGTTTTGGCAGACCGGGTTGTGGAGTGTCTACAACTACATTGCTACCTTCCATTGCCGCGACCTCCAATTGCAGCCAAGTGCTCCGGAAACGCACATGTCCGAATCCCAAATTCAAATTCCATGTCTTGACCCCCACAGCCAAGTCACAAATGGCATACACCTTCTCCCTGAATGTGCTCATGAACTTCCGACCCAGCCTCGAGAGGCCGCGACCCTCAACCCCTGAACCCTAAAGTCCTGAAGCCCCTACACCCTACACCCTAAACCCTACACCCTAAACCCTAAACCCTAAACCCGAAACCTTAAACCCTAAACCTCAAACCTAGAGGTCCTCTGTTGGTGAAATGGCAGGTGAGCGCCGACAACCTCTTCTCGCCTTCGGGGGCCAATGGCCAGGCAGGTTCAGTTTGGGAAGCAAGTCATGGAGGGTTTAGGGTTTAGGGTGTAGGGTTTAGGGTTTAGGGGTCATGGAGTCCCGACTTCTGAATACATACTACTTTCCTCAGTTCTAGAAGAGCCCTTCACTTAAGCCTTGCAGGTCAGAATTTGTGGACTTCTGTGAGCCAGCGAATAAATCCAAAACTCCTGGGCTCGCAAGGTCTTCGAGGACATCTTCAATGAAGCCTCCCTCTACTTCAACGAGGCGACTTTAGCTTGAGCTGCGTTTGGGGTTTAGGGTTTAGGGTTTAGGGTTTAGGGTTTAGGGTTTAGGATTTAGGGTTCAGGGTGAGGAGCTGTCTATGCTCTTATATTGAAGGGGCCCTAAGCCCAAAGCCCAACAAATCCTGAGTTCCAAATCCCGAATCCCAAATCCCTAATGACGCACACAAGAGTACTGCGCGGTGATTTTCAGGCAGAAAGAAACGAGATAGATGGAACAAGATAGTAGTGGTACAACTTACAAAGAAGGGTCAACGCGCCCTTTCTTTTAAGCACGAGATAAACACAGTGTTGTGCCGCCCTCAGGAGTAGGAGTTGGCCACATCAGAACTTTATAGGGAAGGCTTGTGCCTTCTTGACCTGTCACTTCATGGTTCAAGAAACCGCGTAAACGCAACACCCTTTTTCAAGAAAGAATACAGACACAGTACACAACTAAAGCAAGTGCTTGGAGCACACAAAGCACAGTTAAGATATAGTAGAAAAGGATGACACAAGTACACAACGAAGAAGGAATCAGGAAAGCATGCAGGGACCCCAACTCATCTACCCCATGAAACCCCTAAACCCTAAGCCTTAAGCTTTGAAAAAACCTTCTTTCTTCCTCGCCAATGGACCATTGTAGTCTTCATATGCCTAAGTAGCCCCAAGATAGCCCCGATATGACACTCCTTTAGAATGAGTCCTTTTCATGGTTTAGTAGCTTAGGGTTCTGAGTAGGGTTTTGGGTTCTGGGTTTAGGGGTTGAATCAGACACATTCGTGGTGGTCTTCCAGTTTTAGGGCTCCGGTGTTGGGGGTGGGGGGGGGGGGGGGGGGGGGGGGGGAGGGCACGATTTAACCCCTAAACCCTAACAAAAGTATCATGTGGCTTAGACATTTTTCATGGTGGGTCGGGGTTCGGTTCGGGAGTCGGCATGAATATGTAAACATAAACATAAGCAAGCAAAAAGTATCTCTCACTGCATAGTTCTGGGGTTCTTTAGACATCAGGCTTCATTCTGGGAAGTCGGTTCTTGAGCCGTTGTGCACGTTTAAGCTCTAGGGTTTGGGATTTAGGAGTTCGTCCCTGGCCCCCACAAAGTCTCGGCATCCGGGAAGTCTGAGGCTTGAGCACTGTCAAGGCGGATGTCTATGAAGTCAGTGGTGCTTTTCAAAACATGATCGAGCAGTAGGGTTTAGGCTTTCATGTTTTATCCCATAAGCATATCGTCGCATATGTAGCAGAGTAGCCCTAAGGGAGCAATACTCTTCGGAAACCCAAAATGGAAACGCCCCAAGTAGGATCTCGATATAGGGCACCTGCGCCCATGGCAAAGGCATTCTGCATGCTTGTGAACCTGAGATGTTAAATGCGCGAGTAGTCGATCTTAACCTATGGCCTTATCCGGGCACCCTAAACCCTAAACTCTGACCTCTAAACTCACCTGAACAGACATGCCAAGGTATGCTTGACCGGATGCGCTGCCGATTTCACCATGGTGATCCTTGGGCATACGTCCATGTTTCGGATCAGGGTGGGGGCTTTCGCTTTCAAACTCAGGGCTAGACCCTAAACCCGAAACCCGAAACCCTAAACCACAATCTTCTCACAGCCGCTCGCGCCTGAACTCCTAGACCCTGCCCCAATCCCCTGGACACTCAGCTCGGGGCTTCGGTGTCCTCCAAAATCCGCAATCCGCTCCAAATGTAGGGTTTCGGGTTTAGGGTGTAGGGTGTGTGTGTGTGTACATATATACGCATACTATTGCCCAGAGGGCCCATTTGTAGTACAAGCAAGGAATCGGGTGCCCCAAAACCCTGTTTAGTATGGCTTTCGGGTACCTGATCCCATAATCGTACTACAAACGGACCCTCTGGGTTATATACATATGTATAAATTGAGTCATACTCCTGGAATATTCTACGAGAGACACTAAGGAGTTTGGGGCTCTTGGTTCGCGGCGAAAGGCTTGGGGTTCAGGGTTTAGGTCTTAGGTCTTAGAGGGTTAAGGGTTTAGGGTTTAGGATTTAGGGTTTAGGGTTTAGGGTTTAGGGTGGATATGCAGACTCCTAAACTCAAAGGGGAGCAGAGGAGCCATGGACCCCAACCTCAGACATGATCCTGAACCCGAAGCCCTAAGCCCGAAGCCCTAAGCCCTAAGCCCTAAGCCCTAAAGCCCGAAGCGTGACAAGGAATGGAAGCTCGACGGCACGCGAGTCTCCCCGCGGCAAGAGCTTGAGGGAGTCCAGGGGTACTGGGAGGTTCCTGGGCAGGTATATCTAGGGTTGTAGGTACCTGAAACACGGAATCTACAGTTGCCCTAGCTATAGCCCTGCTTATAAGCATCCATGAACCTCCGAGTATAGTCTGCAAGGTGTTAGGGTCTAGGGCGCGGAGTTCACCAGGATTTTGTATCTCGCCCTTAGCTTCTGTGGGATTCAGTGTTCAGGCTTCAGTCCCTACAGCTTAACGCCTAAACCACCAGCCCCTAGTTCTGACCTGTGTGAACTTTTGGGTCTCTGTGAGCTTTTGGGTTTTTTTTGGTTGAGGGGTCTCCGAGCCGAGATCTCCACCCAGACCTGCTAGCCTCAAGAAGACCTGTGAGCCCTAGGATCACAGAACCTGGCACCCGAAGAACCCTAAACCGCGGACCCTGAAACCCCTGAAACCCCTGAAACCCCTGAAACCCCTGAAACCCCTGAAACCCTGAAACCCTGAAACCCTGAAGCCCTGAAGCCCTGAAGCCCTGAAGCCCTGAAGCCCTGAAGCCCTGAAGCCCTGAAGCCCTGAAGCCCTGAACCCCACCGGCTTGCACCCAAACCCGAAACTGTCGAGGCAACGAAGCCCGATGTCCTAAACCCTTACTTGAAGGTTCAGGTACTCAGTGTCGACGTTCGGTTTTCGGATCTGGTATCGGTTCTATGGATTTGTATACTGTCGTTTGGCACAGTATGAGAGGTTGATGCTGGTTAATACAGATATGTTGAAAAATCTTCGCACTTAGTTTGCCCTATGAAGTCCTTTCTGCTCTTAGCGGGCCCAAATCCGGATAGGTACATCCAGGCCCACGAAGCAAGAATGCAATACCAGGACGTGCTGCTCCTTTCTGGAGTTGCTAGACACAGGCGCCTAGACAGGTCTGTCTCATAACTTTTAACATAGCCCGAAACCCTAAACCCTAAAACCTAAACCCTAAACCCCAACCCTAAACCCTGAACCCTGAACCCTAAACCCTAAACCCTAAACCCTAAACCCTAAACCCTAAACCCTAAACCCTAAACCCTAAACCCTAAACCCTAAACCCTAAACCCTAAACCCTAAACCCTAAACCCTTCACAGGTATGTCTATGAGATGACCCTTGACAATCCTCTGAAGTTGGCCTTCGACACGTTGAAGAGCTACAGTGGCAGCAGGCCAGCTTCCTAGAACCCACCCGGATTTGTTTGGTTTGGCCGCGGAAGCCAGAAGCACTCGCAAGGCCTGTCGGGGTGAATATGAAGGCTTTTGGGACCCGATTTTTTTTAAAGAGTTGACTGCAGTTGTATCATTGAGTCTACACACTTGCAATGTCCTGCATCTAAGCACCCAGGGCTCAACTCGAGCAGGTCATGCTTGTTATGGCAGTGGAAGCAAGGGGGTCTTGCGAACCGCGCTTGTAAAGGGTACCAGGGATGCATGCTCTTCGGATTTGGCCCAACCCTGAGAATCTCAACCCTCAGATCCTGAAGCCCACATTTAATCCCTAGAACCAGCACCTGAATCCTTTTGAGCGCACTGCGCACATGAACTTCGCAGGGCGGAGGTCCTCTCGCTCCAGCACCGCGTCTGAAGATTAGTCGGCCTTGGGCTAGCCCATATTTGTGGTTCTCAGAAACAAGGTGTGCCCTGTTCCCTTTTGTAAGAGGGCTGATGTTCCTTTTGGGCCAGGACCCAGAAGAGCGTGGGGGGGGGGGGGGGCAGGAACGCCTACGGTGTGGTTTGGGTGAGTGAGGGGCCTGCCGATGGGTATCCTTTTTGTAAGAGTAATACAAGCGGGTAGAATGACAAGCAAACCGAACACCTTAACACCCCCTAACCCCTAAACCCTAAACCCTAAACCCTAAACCCTAAACCCTAAACCCTTAAACCCTAAACCCTAAACCCTAAACCCTAAACCCTTTAACCCTAAACCCTAAACCCTAAACCCTAAACCCTAAACCCGAAACCCTAAACCCTAAACCCTAAACCGAATATGAAATATACCCTCGAGTATCCTTGCGAAGTCACTTCTAGGGACCTTTGGGGCGTGGCATAGGCTTATGGCGAGGCAGTGATGAACCCAAGTGTTTTTGGGTTGTATGATTTGTGGTGTAGAGGGTTGAGGGTTTCTTGAATGGGCGGTTTGAGACTTTTTTTCTTCGGGTGGTTTAGGATTTACGGAGATTTTGTAGGTTTAGGGTTTAAGGCTTAGGATCTAAAACTTAGCATGTGTTCTATGGTTTAGGGTTTAGTTATAGGCTAACTAGGGTTTAGAGTTACGGGTTTAGGGTCTAGGGTCCAGGGAGTTCTTTCAAGACTCCGCCCTGGGCCAAGTCCCCAGGAGCGTCATCAGCAACGATTTCAAGTTCTCAGCGCTGCCGACAGTCCAGGGCTGAGAGGGTTTAGGGGTAGGGTCTAGGGTCTAGGGTCTAGGGTCTAGGTTTTAGGGTTTAGGGTTTAGGGTTTAGTAGGTTTTAGGGTTTAGGGTTTAGGGTTTCGGGTTTAGGATTGCTTTATTAAGTGGTAGGGAGTTTAGGGTTCCAGCGTCAGCTGTAACCATGCAGGCCCATGCTGATTCCCATACCAGGGTTTTGGGTCAGGTCTCAGGGTGTGCAACCCTGAGCCCTATGTACCCGAATACTCCGGTGCCCGAACCTAATGCCTGAACCCTGAACCCTCCTATAAGGCAGGATTCAGATCGAGTCTCAAGGATTTAGGTTTGGGGCTTCTGGGGTATCAGGTTTAGGTATTTAGGGTGTGTCAGTCATGGTGCATACATCAACCATAGGAGACTGGCAGGTGACTGGCAGGTGTTTTAAGTAGGGTGACTAAAGTTATACTTGGCTGTATGCCCTTATTTGGGGCTTATGCTAGTCGCCGCTCTGAACCGTCTTCGTGCCAGTCCGTGTGCCCCTACTCCGCCAAGCGCTGCGTGCCCATGCCGGGGGTGGAGTTCACGGACCGCGGGCTGTGAGATTTGGGACCCCTGATTCACGCAACCCTGAGCCCGAGCTAAACCGTACGATGCTCTCAAGTGTTGGAGTTTACGGCTTAGTTAGGCTTTGGGTTTCAGGTTTGGGGTTTTGGGCTTGGGGTTTTGGATTTCTGGCAGTGTGCTGGACCATCTGCAGGCCGCGTCTTGGTGGCTGGTACTTATTCTGTGTTATCTTGTGAGCCCTAGTCTGAGCGCGGACGTACCACACATGCTAGACTTTGTTCGACCACATCATGCCGAGCTTCCAACCCCAGCCCAAAAAGAGCTTTCAGGGTGTTCCTTAAGTATTCAGGGCGTTGTTTGGGGTTTGTAGGTTATCTGGGTATTTGGGTTTAGGGCAGTGAAGGTACTTTTGGTTGAGCGTATTTGGGGTATTGCGGGTCCAGACTCATTTTTGTTGGGGTTTAGGGTTTAGGACTTAGGGTTAAGGGCGTAGGGTTTAGGGTTTAGGGTTTAGGGTTTAGGATTTAGGGTTAGGGTTTAGGGTTGAGGGGTTATGGTTTACCCCAAACCCTAAACCCTAAACCCTAAACCCTAAACCCTAAACCCTAAACCCTAAACCCTAAACCCTAAACCCCAAACCCTAAACCCTAAACCCTAAACCTTAAACCCTAAACCCTAAACCCTAAACCCTAGACGCTAAACCCTACCCCCTAAACCCTACACCCCCTAGACTTCCAGGAGTTAACTTCCGGCTCCGCATACTGTACCTTCAAGATGACGGCGGACGTCGTGAACGCCCTCGGCTCGGCGATGACAGACACCATGGAAGCACTAGGTGGGCCTTGGGGGGTTTAGGGTTTAGGGTTTAGGGTTTAGGGGTTTAGGGTTTAGGGTTTAGGGTTTAGGGTTTAGGGTTTAGGGTTTAGGATTAGGATTTTTTGTGTAGGGTTTATTCAGGATTGAGCTTCCCAAGCAGTGCCCAAACTTGCAATCCCTAATCTTCGCCCTCATCGGCGCTCTATTTCGCCTGTATATATTTTTACCAGCTGTAAATCAAGTTGTTTTGGGGGCAAGTGTCTTGGCCTGGCTGCTGTTTTTGGGGGAGGGGGTGGGGGGGTGGGTGGGTGGGGGTGGGTGGGGTGGGGGTGGGGGTGGGGGTGGGGGTGAGGGGTACCCACCACCCACCTTAAAGGGGGTTTTGCCAAAGCAGCCCCTACCCCCTGTGGTGAACCGCCTCTGGTCGGCCTCCCCCCCCCCCCCCCCCCCGTTTTAAGGTTTGGGGTGTAAGGGAGGGTTCCCAACACGCCGCAGGGTCGGCGGACCCTAAACCCTAAGCCCTAAGCCCCAAACCCTAAACCCTAAACCTACAATGCAAGACGGTTTGAGATAAAGAGGCGTTGCAGATCTCTCCGCCAGCCTCGGAGATACCATCGGAACCTGGATCGGTGACTTCCAGGCGGGAGTTTAGGGTTAGGGTTTAGGGTTTCCCTCACTCGAAACCTTCCAGTTGGGGGCTTGGCGTTGAGGGTTTTCAGAGGGTTTAGGGGGTTTAGGGGGTTTAGGGGGTTTAGGGGGTTTAGGGGGTTTAGGGGGTTTAGGGGGTTTAGGGGGTTTAGGGGGTTTAGGGGGTTAAGGGGGTTTAGGGGGTTTAGGGGGTTTAGGGGGTTTAGGGGGTTTAGGGGGTTTAGGGGGTTTAGGGGGTTTAGGGGGTTTAGGGGGTTTAGGGGGTTTAGGGGGTTTAGGGGGTTTAGGGGGGTTAGGGGGGTTTAGGGGGGTTTAGGGGGGTTAGGGGGTTTAGGGGGGTTTTTTAGGGGGGTTTTTGGTTTAGGTTGTTGGGGTTTAGGGGGGTTTTTTTAGGGGGGGGGTTTAGGGTTTAGGGGGGTTTGGGAGGGGGGTTTAGGGGGGTTTAGCGGGGTTTAGGGGGTTTAGCGGGGTTAGCTTTTTTTAGCGGGGTTTTAGCGGGGTTTTGCGGGGTAGGGTTTAGGGTGATGTTATCCCTAAACAGAGGGGATTTGCACAAGAGGGGAGCCTCGGTAGCGGTACGGCTTTGCACCTTTGTTCTATGTACGAGGAGGCCTCGGGTTTCAGACCCAAAGCCAGACAACCTTCAGGCAGTCGCGGCATTCCCGAAACCCTAACCCTAAAACCCTAAACCCTCAACCTAAACCCTAAATCCTGCAGCTGCAAAAAAGAGAGGAGCCAAAGCCACACCGTCATGCTTAGTATTGCTTCAAAAGCCACCATGGACTTTAGAAAGCTTCGAGCCAAAACTCAAAGGCCAAAAATTTGGGTGCACAGACGTTTGCAGCGACGCCGCTGGTTTTCTTTGAAGCTTGGGTAGGACCACGGAAGTCGGATTTGCATGAACATGAGCTCGAAACAGAAAGCAACGAAACCCTAAAACCCAGAAAAAATTGAGGGCGAGGTGCTAGCGACTACTGGGGGGTGCGTTCTTTCGATTGAGGCGGGCTGGGGCGCTTCCAAACACCAGTATCCCCCCCTCACCGAGACACCCCAAACCTTACTCCTAAACCGTGAACGCTGACCCTAAACTTAAAACCTGTACTTAAACTTCTAGGCATGGAAGCCGGGTGTTGCCAGTTCAGCCTCCGCAGCAGGGACACCCAAACTGCTAAGGACCCAGGCCAACCAGGACACTTAATTTGAGCTGGAATGGCAAGCATCCAGAAATCTGGAAACCTTGAACGTATAACTTTGTGATCTCCCGGAACCCTTAAAATTGAATTTTGCCAGACCTTCCATCGTGGCCTTCCTTATCGCAGCTTGGCCACACCAGCAGCCATGGTTACTGGACCGGCACGCGGGGGACCAAACACAAAGGATTAGGCCACGAAGTTACGTGCGTCCCTGTGGTCCTTTTGAGCAATATGGCCCTTGGCAGGTGAAGTATCGTTCGAGGAACTGACCGAAGTTCCCATTCAGGGGAATTCCGGGCTCGGATTCCTGTGCAGCAGTATACGGCTTTCAAGGGGGGGGCGGGTACCCTAACCTTGAACCTCGAATCCTACTTCTGGGCACCAGAGCCCGTCATGACAGGGCTATTCGTGAGGGGTTACTTTTCGGCCCTAAAACCTAAACCCTAAACCCTAAAACCCTTAAACCCTAAACCCTAAACCCTTAAACACTAAAACCTAAACCCTAAAACCCTAAACCCTAAACCCTAAACCCTAAACCCAAACCTACCTAAACCCTGTTAGATGGTCGGATCATGGTTTGGGTTCTTTCATGGGCTTGCTGGGCTTTAGGGGCTTCTGGGTTGTTAGGGATCACTGTGACAGACGCTGCTCTGCTCCTTCCTGATGGCTTCATCTAACATGGTGCCTTGCCAGAAGACCGATTTGCCCTGAGCCATTTCAACGCTACAATTACAAGCCTTGAAGCCCTTTGATACCGAAAAACCCTACAAGCCTACCTGAACCTGCAAGCCTGAATACCCACCAGCCAAAAACCACAACCTCCAAAACCACGAACCAATGATTCTCAATTTCTTACATCCTAAACCCCGAAGCGCTTCCGATACTCTAAAATCCTGAAAGCAGATCGCCTGAGCCCACAAACCACACGCCACCCCTGCGGATTGGTCTTTTCGGGTTTGGCATTCGGGTTCCGGGTTTGAGGGGTCTATTAGGGCT